AACTCAATCTGGAGATTCCTTATGCAATCCCAGCAAAACAGAATTAAAAGAATTGATATGATCAATTGCTATCCTTGTTGTGTTTATGCAAATAATCTGACTGAATTGAAACTGGACTTAATGCAGTCAATAAATTGATCTTAATTTAGCTCTTTAATAAAAATAAGGTTAATTTTAAGGGGAGAAATTGTTTTAAATCATAATGTCTAGTTGTGGATTTTAGGCTCTAGTTAAGTTCATTGTCTTCAAATTTTTGTCTTTCAACTAGAAATTGAACTGGATCCTGAATTCTTCTAGTTTTCTTTAAGCATCCACAAATCAACAAACGACAAGTGCTGGAGAGGATGTGGAGAAAAAGGAACACTTGTGCACTGCTGGTGGGAATGCAGACTGGTGCAGCCACTATGGAAGACAGTATGGAGTTTCCTTAAAAAACTGAAAATGGAACTCCCATTTGACCCTGTGATCCACTTCTAGGAATATATCCCAAGAAACCAGAAACACCAATCAGAAAGGATATATGCACCCCTATGTTCATAGCAGCACAATTCACCATAGCTAAGATCTGGAAACAGCCTAAGTGCCCATCAGTAGATGAATGGATTAGAAAACTGTGGTACATCTACACGATGGAATACTATGCTGCTCTAAAAAGGAAGGAACTCTTGCCATTTGCAACGTCATGGATGGAACTGGAGAGCAGTATGCTAAGTGAAATAAGCCAGTCAATGAAGGAAAAATACCACATGATCTCACTCATTCATGGATAATAGAGACCATTATAAACTTTTGAACAATAATAGATACAGAGGCAGAGCTGCCTCAAACAGATTGTCAAACTGCAGCAGGAAGGCCGGGGAGGGTTGCGGGGCAGGAGGTAGGGAGGTAAGAGAGCGACTAAAGGACTTGTATGCATGCATATAAGCATAACCAGTGGACATAAGACATTGGGGATAGGGGAGGCTAGGGGACTGTCTAGGGCGGGGGGATAAAATGGACACATATGTAATACCCTTTGTAATACTTTAAGCAATAAAAAAAAAAAAAAAAAAAAAAAAAAAAAAAAAAAGAATATAGAACCAGAAAGTCCTTGAGGAATCTCTGGAAGTTTCTAGGTTAGTAAATGGCAATGCCAATCCATTGTGAGGGGAATAAAAAAATCATCAAAATATAAAGATAGGGTTGTACTCTAAGGGGTTTTTGTCACATTTATATACTGTAAAGTGTAGTCGGAGCTACTGTAATTTGAAAGGAGTGACAGGTGTTTGAGAAATAATGAGAGAAGAATGTAAGACACTATAAAAATTGCTGAGAAACATTGAAAATTGGGTAGCACTTGTTAAAATAATTTGTCTTCAGAGTATACATCTCTGGTTGTCTTTAGGTCTTTTAGCAAACACACAAACAAAACTCTAAACTGAAACAAAGCTGAATCATTTCCTAAAATCAGACCTGTAGAGACAGAAAGCTGGAAGCTGGAAAAGCTCTGGGTGAGTGACAGCTCTATGTCCCCCTCAGTAAACCCAACCTGCACTCCCCAGGATACAGAGAGTTGACTGTACTTTCTGTTGACTTTGGACAATAGGTTTCCCACCTATGCTCACTCTGTTTAAGAGCCTTGATGAACAGTCCTTCAAAGTGATTTCTGAAGCTTTTTTTAGCTTTTGTCCAAGGACTTCAGGCTGGCAGCTCATGAAGGCTGATCTTTAGTTCCACGAATACTCTGTTATCAGCTTCCAGCTCAGACTCCTAGGCTCACTGTGCAGCTGACTGCTTGAAGAGCCATACGATGGGGTGTCACCACCACAGAGTTCAGTGACTCCTAGCACCTCGCTCGTATTTGTCACAACACCGTCATTCACTGAAATTGTTTGTATAAAGAGTGGCCACCATATCCAAATGCATGCTATATACAAGCTGTCTGAACAAATTAAATTTGCATGTCATGTTCTGGATATTTTCTTACCTGTTGACGGCCAAAATCTATTAAAGCCAACCCTTCTCTAAAACAAGTTTTCTATTTTTTTAGCTTATTTTTTTTATATCTCCTGAGGAATTTTCTCTTGAGGCTACTCTGGACAGATTGATTGGTCTCATATATAACCAAAAACCAAACAAAAACAAACAAGCAAACAAAAAAACACGACAACAATGCTGGATTCAACTGTATTAACATTTTTAGTTAACGGATACTTCCTGAAAAGCTAAAATGTACTACTTGCCAATAAATTTTAGTATAGCAACAATTTATGGATAATATGTTCAATACAGCATTTTAAATCTCTGCTCAAGAAATGATAATATGTACTTTCCAGTAGCTTTTCAGAAATTAGAAATATAAATCTTTGAAATATGTAAAAATTATAAATAATATTATCTATAGATATTATAGTGTAATAAATAGAATTTTCAGTAATATATATATATGTATATATATAAAATTTTGAATAGTAAAATAGTAACTACATATATATGTAGGTATATATGTATATACATTATATTTACATCCATCCCTATGAGGAGAAATGACCCAAATTTACTTATGTAAAACTTATCACATCATCATTGGTGACATTAAGTTTTATGCAACTTAGAAATAGTCATTCTTATATTCACCAAAAGTGATTCATAAAATATTTTCCCAGTCAGGGCACATGCCCAAGTTTTGGCTAGATCCCCGGTAAGGGGTGTGCAGGAGGCAGCTGATTGATGTTTAACTCTCACATCTATGTTTCTCTCTCACATTAGTATTTCTCCCCCTCTCTCTTCTCTTTCTAAATGTGAATTTAAAAATCTTAAAAAAAAAAACAAAGAAAGAACAGCTTATGTAGTATAGACAGAAAGCTCTGAAAGTTTGAAGGGTCACAGATACCTGGTTGGGATCTGTAAAATGCCAAGGAATGAAATGTCAAGTTAATCTGTAGACTATTTAAACCCAGGTGGCCTTAATATTTCTAGTTATAGAGAATCTGCATTCTGATTCAAAAGAGATTTATAAAATGCTCTTATAATTTAATTTTCATTATTGCCTTACAACTTAAAAAGGCACTGTGAAGGGGGACATTATGTACTATTGTGGCTGAAATGAAATATCAAGACAATCAATATTTGGCCTAACAGGTCCAGAGGATCCCTGAAAAAAATAGATAATTATAAATATGCTTACTGTTTCCTAGGTAATGACGGATTTTTTTAAAAGAATATGCTAAGAAAGTATTCTGATGTTTGCTCTTCCGAGATTTTGCTTTTCCTTCTGAGAAAGATTTGAAGAGGATGAGTCTTCCTCCCTTTATTATCTGGCTGTAGCAAACTGCTCTCTACCTTCATGAAGAAGGACAGTGTGGTGGTTTCTGCCACAGGCTTTAACTGGTAAACTTCTCAATGACCCAAAGGAGTTATAGCTCTAAAGCAGGCCTAGCTCGTTGCTTCTTTAACGCTAGAGTGATAAGCAGGTTTCAGTATACATCTCACTATGTCTTCTAAGCTTCACTATGTCTTCTTAGCCATGTATGTGGCTAAATTATTGCAGAGATAAAACTGGAGATTGCTATTTTGCTTAGCTGTGCCATCATTATGCAGACATTTGACATATTGTGGAGCACATTGATATGGTTATTTGATGAGGAAGACAGCTGCTAACATAACATTTTACAGTATACAAAAGTACTCAGATGTCCGTCATGATTTAATTCACAGAACAACGTGAGATACTAGAATCTTAGATATCTTTCTGTAGGTGCAGACACAGAGGCTCTTGGTAGGGAGCTGGTGCAGGGTGCTGGCAAGGGGGCTAACACTTCACCGAGGACAGAGCATGGCAGGAACATATAGGGGGTCTGAATATTTGTTGAATTAATCAATTAATTAAATCTGGGCTTCAATCTACTCTTTTATGAAGCCCAGTGCTTTCCTTACAACTAAACTATTATTACATTGCTATTTATAGATTTTAACAAATTGAACCCATAATGAATTTGTGGGCTCAGAATAGAAAACAGAAACACACACACACACACACACACACACACACACACACACAGAAAGAAAAAAACAAACAATTTAAGGGCTTCTTCATTCCACTTTGAAGACATAGGCTTATCATTGTTGTCTATATTTCCCACTTTGCTCAATCAATAACCAGTTTAGGAGGCTCTCAATCTATAGGACTTTGAAAAGCTATATCTCTACCAGAGGGCAATTCTGAATGTATTCAGATTTTTTTAGGCTTCTTTGAAACATATTTTTAATGCTTTTGTTGCCAAGTGATAAACAGATGAAATAAAACAAGGGTAGTTAAGCCTTCAGGTCTGGACACAAAATCAGAGCCCACAAGTTGAATTTCACAGCGACTAGATACAAATTTAATGATATGTAAAGAGAACCTCCTCTCTAGAATTCTAATGCTGAGGCTGGAGGCAGAAACAAGAGGCAGCAGCGCTTTCTCCACTACAGGTAGTTTAATTTCTTCAGTTTTATCCTATGTGGTCCAACAAGGCCTGACAAACTGCACTGCAGTACAAGAAGCATCTCTCGGGCAATGATGTGTAAAGACAGAGGGATTTTTTAGTCAATTGCAGGAATTAGGCTTTAATGCTTTCTACTAAAGGACTTCATACCCCAGATAGCTGACTGCTATCCTCTGAATCTTGGCAGGCAACAAGCCTGATGAAGCTGAAACCGGGAAGCTATGTTAAGCAGATTTTCATGAAACTTACAAAATGCTTTATGTGCAAAGCTGCTTTTCTTTATTGCAGTCCAAAATGTGTTCCTTCTTTTTTTTCAGTCTCTGAGTTTGGTCAACTCTCAGTCTTTATCAAAATTACCTTCCAAAAATATCCCTTAAAGAGACAGAGAAGGTAAAGGCTGCACCTCATAAAAAAATAAATGTGTGTTTTTTTTTTTTAAAGCACAATCCTAATCACATAAATTTAAGAGATTAAAAATGAACATAGTACTTATAAAATTATAAGACACACAGACAGACATTATAAATACATTACCACTAGGTGGAAGTTCTAGAGGGCGACAGACACCATTTTTGGTCCCATCTTTGGACGAAGAGATCAGTTTTGCCACGAGTGCCGCTGAGATGGGCTGCACTAGTAGAGAGGTGAGGTTCCATCGGTTTTGCCTAAAGCTTCCAACTGTATTCAAGAGAGAAAGATACAGAATCCTTTGTCAAGAGAAATGGGAAGAGATCAACCAATGAACTTCTATGTATATATGCATAACCCATGGACACAGACAATGGGGTGGTGAGGGCCTTGGGTGGGTAGGAAAGGGCTGGAAGAGGTTAATGGGGCAAAAAGGAGGACCTATGTATAAAGATTTAAAATAAAAAATCAGGAAAAAAAAACACTGGAAGAAAAATTTTCTGTAATAAGTATTTAAACTATGAGTGGCAGGTTTATTTTGTTCATTTGCTTATTCATTATTTACACTCTACTTATTAAAAATGATTTGCAGTACTTAATAAAAATTCAGTCCAAATACTATTATGCATGTTAGTAAATGATAGCAGATTGTATACACACACACACACACACACACACACACACACACACACACACAGAGACACATACCTCCATTCGGAAATGACAACAAAGGAATTTAAGAAGCACTAATCCACATGGTCTAAGAGACTAACAAAGACAATAACAATAAGATTCTACAAGCTGTAAAGCAGATGAATAGTTGATAACAGACCAAGGAGACCAAAACCTAAGCCAGCAGAGGGGGGATGCTGAAAAGCAATGCAGTTTGTACCACAGAACCCAGAAAGGTGTAGGGATTGACAATACCTGCTACCTAGTTAAGTAGGAGCAAAGGAAGACTTGATGAAATTCTCATTGGGGGGGTCTCTCCTACTGCCCCCTCAGTCACCCTGTGGATGTGAACAGTGCCTGTTCCTCCCTCCTTCACTTCAGCAGAAAACGGAAGGTGGGATGCCAAGCAGAGAGACACCAGATAAAGAGAATGGTGAGCCGAATACTTTGATGGGATGACGTTACTATTGCTGAGGCTCTCAGATGTTTTACTCTCTTGACACCCAGAACCTTTCCTTCCAGTTAGGACAACAGAAAATTCACTTCTGGTAAATATGACTAGGTCAACAGAGAATATATAAAAATACTTAAAATCTGAAGTCTACCAATAAAGCCACTCATCCAAGACACCCTATGTTAAAACCCAGCCATCAATAAATTCCACCCATACAAAGAACTTCAAATCAACTTAATTAATTCTGCCACTCTAAAGGCACTCTCATCCAAGAACAATGCTAAAATGGAACAGGGACAGCAGACCTAGTGAGGAGAGGAGTAGGAGTCCAGAGGCTCAGGAGGGGGGTTCTCCAAGAAGATGAAAACAATGGAAATACTAGGTATGTGTTGCTCTATTGGGAGAACACGTACAGTAAGATCAGAGTTAGCATGTGAAGAGTTTCTAAATACAAAGAAAAATTTAAAAAATCTATGAAATGAGGCAACTATTAGCTGCAAAGGGAGTAAAAAGATTTTCAAGAAAGAAATATAATCATCATACGATGTGAACAGTATTGACATAGTCATAACAATATAAACTATGACCTTGTAACACAAAAGCAACATTCTATAGGAAAAATAGATGAAAAAAGTCAAGGGTGAAGGTACTTGTGAAAGAAAATTAAAAATTTTCATCCGTAGTGGTAAGTCAATATAATAGATGAAATTGAAACATGAATTCAACTCTTTAAAATGCTCTTCAGACCGAGAGGCAAATATAAAAAAAAATAATAATATCTAAAAATGTTGAAAGCTATTGAGTGTTTACCTTTGGGAGATAGGAAAGGACACAAGGAAGTATGGGAGAAGGTGACATATTTTTATGAATTAAGCTTTGCAGGAATATTTTACTATATTCATCTCTAAGTTTGAGAGAACAAAAATTAAACACAAATAAAAAGGAAAAACAGCCATGATAGCACAAATAAGGGAAAAAACACACAAGTACTCAGGTAAAGAGAATAGAGAGAATAAACTAAACTGTGTGTAATGATAGAATTAAAAGATACCTTATTCAGTTTATATATTATCTTGACTCAGAAAATAAAATACACAACAGAATGATTTTACCAGGGAGCCAATAATGTTTGCGAACAGAGGGCTCCATTTTTCAGAACTTTTATTAGGGAAAATAATTGCTAAAGTTTTTCTCAGAATTTAATTTGAAAGGACTGCAGGGGGTGCAGAACTCAACCATACTGGTACCCAGGCTCCGGGAGGCAGATTATAAATGAGAAAATATGTTACAGAAGTTTTTCCTTAATTTATCAACTGCAAAACCACAAGGCTAAGAAATGATATTTAGCTTAGCCCTGTGGCAACCATAGAAGCCATGGCTTTGAAGAAGAAAAATAATGAAGATTCAAGCTTCGAATCAGTTTTGTTATATAAGCGCTCTGCTGCTCTCATAATTCAGTAACCCCTTTTATATGGATGTATGGCAGTGCATTTTGATCACAGTGTAGCTCACTGCTTCCTAACCATTTACTTGTTCAAAAAGTATGGAGAGTTTCAATATGGCAATAGCAGAGCATTAAATTAGGTGTGGGTCCTTCTAAGTGGGGGTCCTGGAGACTGTACAGGTTGCATGGCCATAAGCCAGGTCCTGGTTCACACAGAAGATGCTAGCAGCAATATAGCTTGCTGAGATAAACGAAAGGGGATTTTCAGACCACAAGGAAATTGCTCTCAGCCACAAGTGAGCAGCCCTATGTCTGCTGCTCTAGGCTGTACCTGGAGTTACAGTGATAAAAATCTCAAGGCATCAACAGTGTGCACAGAGTGGAAAGCCTTTGATAGCTACCTCCTCTGCTTCGCCCAGCATGTATTTTCTCCCTCAGCCATTGCCTTTGAAACTTTTAGTGTACACCAGACAATGAAATACTGTAGCCCCTCCTTATCTGCAGATTTACTTTTCAGGGTTTCAGTTACCCACAGTTAGCTGAGGTCTGAAAATATTAAATGAAAAAATCCATGCCTGGCTGGCGTGGCTTGGTGGTTAAGCATTGACCTATGAACCAGGAGGTCACAGTTGAATTCCCGGTCAGGGAACATGCCAGGGTCGCAGTCTCTGATCCCAATGATTCTCTCTCAGTCCCTCTCCCTTCCTCTCTGACATCAATAACATTTAAAAAAATAAAATTCCAGAAATAAAAATTCATAATTTTTAAATTGAGCATCATTCAGAGTAGCATAATGAAATCTCTCTCCATTCTGCTCCATTCGGCCTGAGAAGTACATCATCACTTTGGCCAGCATCTCCACACTTGTATGCAAACCGCCTTTTAGTAACCTCCCAGCTATCTCAGGCATCACAGAGAGAGAGACCACATTCACATAACTTTTCGTACAGTATATTGTTATAATGGCTCTATTACATGATTGTTATTGTTATTAATCTCTTACTATTGTGAAGTTATACATTAAACTTTATCATAGGCATGTAGGTATAGGAAAAAAAAACAATTCTATATAGGGTTTGGTAGTATCTGCAGTTTGGGGAATCCACTGGGGATTTTGGAACATCACCCCTGGGAATGAGGTGACTACTGTAGCATTTATGAGAAATGGACAACCTGTTATTTTGAAGGTTTCATAGATGTTAGGTGCTGACACATTACCAACACAAAATGAAAGTTCTTGGGAAGCTGCATGATTCACCTCTCTCCAGTTCAAATACAGAACTCTACCTTGCCATTCAAGGCCCTTCACAATCTCTGACCTATATTTCCAACATTATTTCCCTTCATTCCTCTTCATGCATCTTATCCTAAAACTAGTTGTCCCCCTACATATTCTGTGATTTACATCTTCCATGTTGTTGTGTAAGCCCATCCATCCACTTCACCTGCTTTTCTCCTGCATCACACATGTCAGACTCTAACTTACAAGTCACCTTCTGTAAGCTTTCTCTGACACCCTCCTATTTATGTGATATATCTGTACCTTTCTTGTAGTGCTCACCATTTCTAATTAACAATAACATTTCATAATAAACACTTCGGTTTTCCCTCTAAAGGCTAAATTCCTTGAAGGCAAAGAATCAAGTCTTCTTCCTCATTGTATGATACTCAAAGCCAAGGAGATTGTGAGGAACATAAGAGGAGCTCAATAATTACTGGGAAAACAAAAGAAGGAATCAATAATTCTTTGAAAGGTAGTTTCAATGCCTTTATTTTACTGAATGCCTAGAAAATGGATCACAGGTACAACCAAGAATAAATTATAATTTTATTAACCTCATGCTTGCTATATGTGGATGCTTTCTCCCCAGCTAATTGCTCTCCCACAGCAGACACATTACATAGATTTCCAAAACCCAGGTGTCTCCAGCAACTCTCACTGATTATCCTTGCTCTGAAATTATGTTTTGTGGGTAAAAAAAGTATTTCGAATACTAAAACCATCTTTGAGATATATTTATCTGTTAGTAAAAACTCAATAACTGCATTCTTTTTCCCTCTAAAATGCTCCATTAAACATAAGAAACAATGCATTCAAAAGTTAAATATCAGGGAACCTTAGACCATACTCAAACACAGACAAATCTTGATTTGTTGTGCTGCATAACTAACAGACTTGCATTCATTTTGAAATATCTTAAATGGCTCATTAATTTTTCACCTTCAGCTTAATAGAAATTTGACAAACAATTCACTTCTGAGAGCTGATACTAAAAGCAGGACTTTATAGAGCACTAAGATTAAATTATAGACAGAGGGTGTTGTTTTTTCTTAAAAACTTGTTTACTGAAGAAAAGCTTAGAGAATGATTATATTTTCTTATATTAAATCAAACACAGGTGCAATTTTTGTTATATTTTAAGACACATTAATTAACTTTAAGAATCCATTGGATATGCGATGAAAATCAGGAAGATTATATGCCTTGATGAAAAGTGTACATATAGAAAAGATTTGGACCTTACATTCTAGCACTCTGACTTGCAGGTTGCAGCAATTATAGCATACCCTGCACGCTATGTATGCTCAATAAAGACTGACTGACACTAACTTTTATTTCAGCAGATAGGTAGTTCTCTCTTCACCTTACACACTCTTTGTAACTCAGATAAAGATCCAAATTGATCCATCTCTTCAATA